TCCTCCTCCCTCTCCCCCGCCTCCTCTCCTCCTCCTCTCCTCCTCCTCCTCCGCCTGCCTCACTGCCTCTCCGCCTCTCCTCCTCCTCCTCCTCCTCCTCCTCCTGCTCCTCCGCCTGCCTCCTCCCCCTCCTCCCCCTCCTCCTCCCTCCTCCTCCCTCTCCTCCTCCTCCATTTGGAGTGTCGGATCTCCTCCAGCCGGCTGGGCAACACCGGGCCAAAGCCGGAGGCATCCGCAACGCAGCGTGGACGTCAGCCAAGAGATGTGCTGCCCTCGCAGGATCGCCCTGTACAGGGCAAGAGCGGGCATGCCCGTCTGAGCAGCCGCTGTGGTTGGCGCAGTGTGGGCGGCGTGCCAGTCGTGCGAGAACACGGGCTGGGCTGTTTTGTAGATGCGTTGGGGTCCCTCCTCCGCCTCCCATCCTTCCTCCTTATTACTACGTGATCCTGGTCTGCCGCCTGGCCAACCGATGGCCGCCCAAACTGGGGTGGGCCATCCTGCCAAGTTTTGTTTTTGGAGGAAGAAGATGGGAGCGGACCGCAATATTCAAGAACCACCGCCACAACGCGAATGCCAGTTGCACTTGAAAGCCGTTTTCTTCCTCACCAAAAGTGTGGAAACGGACGCAATCAACGACGACAAGGAAGAGAGGACTACCATCCTGACAAGTTAGAACAATGCAAATCTACATGATTCCTTTCAGCGTGGACGTCATGTAGTAGACGGGGCGCACACCCCGCGCGAAGGGGCTTAACGTCGCTTCAGCTTTGGTGCCGCGGCCACTTTCCATAGAGTTGAACTCCCGCTGGGGCGCGGTGGACATGTCTCGCACGCCGCTTCGGCGACGCGCGATCGAACTCGCCTCGACAGCGCGCAGATTTCGCCTGAGTGGCGTTCGAAAACCCTTCGGGTGATGTGGAGGTTCGGGGGAGAGGGGGAAACCACGTCTCATTCAATCGATCTCGCATCGATCAAACTCTGAATATTTTCCTCACGATCGATCCCACAACTGATCTCACTATCGATCTCACAATCAATCTCCCGATCGATCTCACAACAGATATTACTAGCAATCTCACAACCGATCCCACTATCGATTCGACAATAGACTCCCTGTCGATCGCACAAACGATATCACGATCGATCTCACAACTGTTCTCACTATCTATATCACAACCGGTCCCCCTATCGATCTCACAAACATATATCTGAATCGATATCAAAACCAATCTCTTTATCAGTTCGACGATTGATCTACAATGGATCTCACAAGCGATATCATGATCGATCTCACAATAGATCTCACTATCGATCTCCCAAACTATCTCACCATAGATTCGACAATCGAACTCGATCTCACGAAACTTCTCACTATCACTCTCACAATCGACCTCAAAATCGATCTCACCATCGGTCTCACGATTGGTCTCAAAACAGATCCCACTATCGATCTCACAGCAGAACTCAGTATCGACCTCACTGTCGACGCCACTATAATTCTCACGAACGATATCACCAGCAATCTCAAACAGACCTCAGTATCGATCTCACAACTGATCTCACGATTGGTATCACGACAGTTCTCACTATCATATATACTATCGATCTCACGATCGATCTCACAACAGATCTCACTATCGATCTCACAACAGATCTCATTATCGACGTGACAATCGAACTCACTACCGATCTCACCAGCGATCTCACGATCGATCTCACAACAGATCTCGCTATCGATATCCCAATCGATCTCAGTATCGATCTCACTGTCCATCCCACTATAGATCTCACGAGCGATGTCACCATCGATCTCACAACAGATCCCACGATCGATCTCACAACTGATCTCAATATCGATGCCACAATCGATCTCACAACAGATCTCACAATCGATTTCACTATTGAGCTCACCGCCGCGCCACCGACGGGACACCCCGCGCCACAGACGGGACACCCCGAGCCACCGACGAGACACCGCCGCGCCACCGACGGGACACCGACGGGACACCGACGCGCCACCGACGGGACACCCCCTACAACCGCGCGCCGGGGGGGGGAGGGGGGAAGCGGCATCAGCCTTCTCGCGCGCCCACGCGGCTTCGCCTCGCCCGCACGACACGAACACGGACACGAGACCGAGGCACGACTTCCTGGTGTAAAACAGGGCTAGGATCGGGATAAATCGCTCCAGAGCGTTCCAGAGCGCTCTCAGAGCGTTCTGGAACGCTCTGGAGCGGCCGCGGCGCCCAATACATCCTCCAAACCCGCCGATTCTCAGAGATTTCGAGTTATCCCGATCCGATTTTGTCCCGATCTTCGCGTCGTTTGAACGAAGACAGCTTCCCGGAGGTCGACTTTAGCAGCCACGGAGTCAGCAGCCCTGGCGCAAGCGACGAGGCACGCGTGCCTCCTGCCCCCAGGAGGAGGAGGAGGAAGAGGAGGAGGAGGAGCAGGAGGAGGAGGAGGAGGAGGAGGACGACGACGAGGACGACGATTTTCGCAGCCACCGATTTATAGAGTGAGGACGAGGGGGAATGAGAACACGGTCCACGTCGGGTCCGACCCCGACTCCCGACTCCCGGGCGCCCGACTACGGTTGGGCAAGCGTCATGTTCTCTTAACATTGCAATTGATGCACATGCATGATAAGGTGGAGGGGAGGGGGCAACACCAGAACCTTCACCCAACCCACACCCCTACGACTGACAGTGGGAAATCTACTAGACAGGCAGGGGAGGGATATTTTGGGCAGAATTCAATCATGGTTGTGTTTGTGTTTGTGCTTGTGATGTTGCCTTTACACACACGGGTACATAGACACGACCGGGTGCAGATTTCAACCTTACTCTGGATATGCATTGTCTTATGCTTGGTTCCTGGGGTAGGGGCTACAAGTAGCTCGATGGGCGAGCCACTTCAATATTTGCAGGGTCTCAATGATTATTATTTGGATCACATGTGTCATCAATTGGTTTACGACCGGATGCAGCTTCCAACCGTACTCTGGATATGCATTGTCTTATGCTTGGTTCCTGGGGTAGGGGCTACAAGTAGCTCGATGGGCGAGCCACTTCAATACTTGCAGGGTCTTTCAATACCTTGCTCTTGGTTTTACTATTACCGATTCTGGGTGATGACAATTCTTCTAGTGGTGTGTGTGCGGGTGGCCCTTGGGAGTGGAGGGGCCCGACCTGCGCCACACGGCCCTTGGGACACGAACTTCCAGACCCGGGCCCTCCGAACCCCGAAGGGGTTCCGGAGGGAGGCGAGGAAGACTCGGAAGGCTCGGAAGAGGGGGGCTCGCAAGCGGGAGCCGTACGACGATGCACGAGCGGCCCGACGAGCAATCCAACGACTACGAGCAGTCCCACGAGCAATCCTACGAGCAGTCCTGCGGCTGTGGAGTGCGACCCAGCACAGCACAAGCAGTCCCACGACGACACAGCACAGCACAAGCAGTCCCACGACGACGCAGCACAGCACAAGCAGTCCCACTACCACGCAGCACAACACAAGCAGTCCCACGACGACGCAGCACAGCACAAGCAGTCCCACGACGACACAGACCCACGACGACGCAGCACAGCACAAGCAGTCCCACGACGACACAGCACAGCCACTCATCATGGATGCTGCCGACGGTTCGGGAGGGATTCAGACGGACACCCAGCCGTTGCAAGTGGATGAGGATGGTGGTGCGGATACATATACTTGTTGGTTTTATTGCCAAGGCCATCGCTGATCTATCGATGATGCATGCTTCTGCTCTTGGTAATCATATCCGTATATTTCCCGATTGTGACGGAACAATTATGCCAGATATTGCCGCTACGACGCCGTATGTTGTACTTCAGTTCTTCTTTGGGCTGGTGTCTTCTCCCACGACGACGCAGCACAGCACAAGCAGTCCCACTACGACGCAGCACAGCACAAGCAGTCCCACGACGACACAGCACAGCACAAGCAGTCCCACGACGACACAGCACAGCACAAGCAGTCCCACGACGACACAGCACAGCAATAGCAGTCCCACGACGACGCAGCACGACACTGCACAGCACAAGCAGACCCACGACGACACAACACAACACAAGCAGACCCACGACGACGCAGTGCAGCACAAGCAGTCCCACGACGACGCAGCACAGCACAAGCAGACCCACGACGACGCAGCACAGCACAAGCAGTCCCACGACGACACAGCACAGCCACTCATCATGGATGCTGCCGACGGTTCGGGAGGGATTCAGACGGACACCCAGCCGTTGCGAGTGGATGAGGATGGTGGTGCGGCCCACGATACATGGGAAGTAATACATATATTTGTTGTTTTTTTTGCCAAGGCCATCGCTGATCTATCGATGATGCATGCTTATGTTCTTGGTAATCATATCCGTATATTTCCCGATTGTGACGGAACAATTATGCCAGATCTTGCCGCGGAGGCCGGCGCCAGTGGGCTATCGTACTCTCTGTGTGATGGACGACTCGACTTTCGTGCCGGGACAAGGCGCGATGCGGGTCAAGGGGGCAGCCGAGCCACCGCACGTCAGCGGAGAGAGAAGCAGATTGCATCCATCGTCTCCGCGATCCTGGCCAGTGACAAACCACCAACAAAGAAAAAGAAAAAGACAAAAGCCCGAGGTTCACCGCCACGGACAGCCGCACCGGGACCAGCACCGGCGCAAGCACCAGCACCAGCACCGACCACAAACACTAGCCTACTGACCATTCTGCAACAAGCGGTGGCACACGCACCCAAGAACACCAGCGACGAAGCAATCCTGGACCGACTAGAGGAGCTCCTCGCCGCTCGGAGGACCCAACCACCCACGACCACACCGCCGCGTAGAGGGCGATGGAGAAAAGATGCGGCCAACCAGAGCACAGCCACAGGTCAACACTCACCAGACACTGGTTCCAACCAGCCAGCTCCGACCCGGAGGTGGAAAGTGAATGAACGACGTTTCCCTGGCAAGCAAATCTCGGGGGCCACGCAGGTCCTAAACGCTCTCCGAGAAGGCCGGGCACCCGACGGCGACGTTGTAGTGCTGAACGCGGTCCGGAAGCAGGAGGCGGTAGAACTGGCCCAAGTACACGGGGTACAGAAGAACATGACCGTAATTGTGTTCGACACACCTGACAACGACCAAACGACGGCAGCTAACGGCGACGACACATCCCAGTGGGTAGCGGTCGTCAAAGGAGGCCGGCCGAGCATGAAGAAACTGGAGTGCACCAACCTTCAAGGGGCCAAGGTTGACGCACCGAAACACGAAGTGGAAGGCCCTGAACCGCCTGCTGTACGTGCCACGACCACGGTACGTGTGACAATGGTCAAGGAATTCATGACAGACGCGCAATGGAAGACGGCCCGCCAGCGGCCCGGCGCCGTGGCGACGGGAGATCTCGATAAGGACGCCATCCTGGCGGCGGAAGCCTTCTCTGAGGTCCTCGAAGCAGGAAAACTGGTAGCCCTGATTGGGTACCTCACGGTCGCCGCGGCTGGGCTGGCCCCAGTGCTCGCCGCTTCCGGAGCCCACGGCCGCTTCTACAGGGTGCTTGCGAAGGACCGCTCGGGCCCAGACACACCAGTCCGCTGGATTAAACGGTTCGACGACCCGAGCCTCGACTACTATCGCCGTGTACAAGGTCTGGTGGCCTCAACGACCAATGCAACAATAGTCCTCCGGAATGGAGGAGGAAACAACCTTGGTGTGGTGGGAATCGACGTGGACGACGCGCAGGCAGTTACGACCCGACCAGCGGCATGGCGGATCCTACACGTCCCACGTACATGGACAGCCCACGAACTCAAAACTTGGCTAGGAGCAGCCGGGTGGACAGAAGTACAGGTTGAATCGCCGCCACAGAGCAGGAACGGGCCATGGGTTGTACGGGCCCACCCACGCCGACCCGGAAGCGACACCACCGTCGACGCCTGGGCTATCACACTCAGAGGACAAGACCAAGCCATCCAGATTCAACGCTTCGTGCGCGGCGCGGGAGGCCAGACAACACAACCAACGACGACTCGAAGATGGCGGTGGGGTGCCGACCCGCCCGCCCCACCCGCAGCACCCGATGGCGTGGCAGTGCCTGGGGTGCACGACATGGACGTGGACTTGGACGCCGAATACATTACCGACAAACAGAAACGACAAGAACGGTACGACCAGGAAGACATGGACCTCGACGGCCTCGCGGAGGAGACCCGGACCACTGAGAGGGCCAAGAGGACAGCCGCACGGGAGGCGGAAGACGCTAAAGTCCGTGACAGGATCAAGAAAGCCCGGGGTGAAGCAGCGGCTGCGCCGGCAGAGCTACCAGGGACTGCAGGCCCTGCGGCCGCGCCAGCAGCAAAAGCAGCGGCTAAGCCCGCCGCGAAGCCGCCGCCCAAGCGGAAGAACCCGTTCGAAGCCATCGACCCCGGTTCCAACGGAGGCGACTGCGGATACCGGGCCCTGGCTGCGGGTTGGGCTCTGCTCGGGGGAGTCGCCAAGGCCACGCGGGAGAACACGCTGAACCCCGCCAAGCTCGAGAGAATGGCGAAGACCCTACGAGCGCAACTTGCACTACGTATCAGCAACAACCATGAGTTCTTCCAACACTACTGGGCCCACGTACCCCTGGGGGAGGGGAAGGAAGACGGGGCTATTCCGACCACCTGGGAGGAGTACGTCGCAGCGTGTAAAAGACCGAAGCGGTGGATCGACGGGCTGTCCTACCAGGCGGCATGTGACCATTTCAACCGACACATCTACACGTACACAGGGGTGGGTGCTCAGCTCAACGACGTCAATTGGGTAGACAAGGTAACTTGGATCCCACAGTCTCCGGACGCACAGCGAGCAGCACTACTGCAGCCTCCCCTACACGTGGGCCTGTGGAAAGACCACTGTTACATTTTACTGCCAGACGACGGCACCAGGCACAAGAAGGAGACCAAACGACCGAGCAAGGCACAGCTCGAGGAACGCATCCGCAAGATATGCCGACACGGTGGCTCTACACGGAAAGCAGACAAAGATTCCGACTCCGAGGACTCCTGGATGGCGACCTTGGCCCGGACACGGTCTTCGAGGAAGCGGAAGCAACCCGACACGCCGGACTCGTGGCTCGGCGACCTGGGGCCCACAGCGACTCCACGCACGACACGACGATCCACTCCTACCACGCCGCGCACTACGCGGAGCGCAGCAGCGACTACGCCCAAAGCTACTCCGACCCGACGCTCGACGCCGAAGGGGGCCGCGAGTGGCAGCAAGGCGACACCGAAGGCCCGGGCCAGCGGCAGCAACAGCACCACCAGACCACCACCTCCCAAGAAAGCAATCACATGCACCGACGCAGCTACACGCCTAACGTGGACGTGCGGTTTGTGTGGCGACACGATCACGGCACCTGTCAACACCGTGCCCCACGCCGTGGGATGGAGTTGGAAAGGCAAGGGAAAGAAACATATCAGGAAGACACGGAAAGTCCACCCGAACTACCACATCACACACGAGCGGGCGAAGCACCTACGGAAATGGCACCCTGGGGAAAACTGGCAGGACGCTGGTAACTACCGACCTTCAGCGGAAGTGCCGCTTCTGTCCCACGACGTGCCCGACGACAAGGTCGCATGGACGTGCCCAGTGTGCGACATCCGCCAGCCTTTCTCGAAAAACACAATTACCTACAAGAAGATCCGGCGGCAGCACCGGCTGAAGGAGCACCCCGAGTACGACGACCAACAATGGCGGTGCCTAATGCTAAGGGCTACTCTGCTGAAGAAGTCGCCCGACGGCATGCTGGATACACGAGGTCAGCGGGACAAGAGAGCCAAAAGCCAAGTAGTCCTGCCTCCACTGCCTGTCCACCAGGTCCGGCCCCGAGCAGAGCGGCTGCGCCGTAAGCGGGAGGCACGGGAGAGGAAGAAAGCAGCAGGGCGCTGCTGAGGCGGAGCCAACCGCCACGACGACCAATCCCACGTCCGTCCTCCCTCCCCCTCCCCCTCCTCCCTCCTTTCCCCTTTCTGCGGGATGTACCACGCCAGCCGGACTACAGAGGGCAGGCGCGACCAATACGCCAATAAAGATGGGAACGATCAATATCGCATCTTGGGCACAGCATGGCAAGGACCTTCTGGCTACCGCCGAGGAGCTGGAGCTGGAGTTGCTGGTACTGCAGGAGCATGGGTGCCGGCACGCAGACATACCCAGGGCAGGCAAGCTCGCTGCTGACCACGGGTACGTATGGACGACTGGAACCTCTTGTGACGACCATGTGGTGGGTACCGGGAGGAGTGGTAGAACAAGGGACGAATGTGGTGGCCTCAGTGTGCTGACGACGGGCCGTGTCCGGGTCACCCGGATCGCGTCTGAGCGCCGGACGGGCACTGGGGGGGCTGTCGCTGGGGGTGAGGGTGCCATCTTTCACCTCCACACAGCTCACCGTACAGCACTGCTGGCTGTGGTACACTTGCGGGCGGCCGACGACGACGACGCACGGAATGGTATGCTACAGCGGGTGGCAGAACAGCGCGCTACGTTAGGAGGGGGGATCCCACTGCTAATCGCAGGCGACTACAACACTACCCCGGAAAATCCCATCATTACCGAGACTGCACGGTTACTGGGGCTCCGGGTCCAGAGCCCAGGAGAGTCCACGAGGTGGGAATCGAGCTGGGAGGTCGACTTTTTCATGGTCACGAAAACTATGACAACTACCAGGGCTGTGGCGAATACGCATACACTATCTGACCATAAGTTGGTGACAGTGGATGTGCAGTTCGACGCACCACAACCTACTGCCGGATGCTCGTGGCGGCGTGCGGCACGGTACGGTACGCTGAAGACGACTCAAGACGCAGCACGAGCGGACGCACAAGGCACCGCAAACACGACCACGACGCAAAGCACGAGCAGACCAACAACTCAGCACGACCCACAACAACATCCAACACGCGATCATGGCGCAGATGCGGCACCACGCAGCACGCCCACGACGCAGCACGAGCAGACCCACAACGCAGCACCACCGACCCATGGGGACATCGTGGAGGGCCTGGTTGCCCAGTGGAGGGCTTTACCAGCTTACGACATCCATGACGGCACCGTGGACGAGTGGTGGACGGACTGGAGTGCACGAGCAGAGGCAGTACTACAATCCCAACCCGCGGTGGTCCTGACCAAGGGCGCTGCCCCTAAATCTGACTTCTCGTTTGCCCAGTGGGAGCGAAGGGAGAAAGGCGACGACGTCTGGACCCGGCACACGCAGCAACTGCGGCAACTCATCCAACGGCTCCGGTCCCCGCCGGCACGGCGAGGGCGGAAAGCAGCCGGGACGATACCACAGTGGGAACGGCAAAATCGGAAGTTGTGGCAACAGAATATGGGCGGCGCCAAGCCGGACGACGACCAAGAAGCCATCGAACAAACTACTAAAGCGCTCGGCAACGCCATGCAAAGGTGCAAGAATGAGCGTGTCAAATGCTGGCGGAAGAGGCTCCAGGCAGATGGTCTTGGGAAGACCACAGCAGCTTGGATCCGGAACGCAGTGAGCACCTACCACAACGTAGCGGTGCAGGACGACACCAAGAGCGACCATGACAGCGGGAACTTGCAACTACACGACGACTCCACGCCCACCAACTACTTTTCACAAGACGCGGTGGAAAGAATACGGGACCACTACGAGCAGCACTTCACGGAATGCGGCCGTGGCAACGATGTGGACGGGTATTTCTACCACTACGACGACTACATTGAGGAGGCACGCCAAGATGTTCAACGAGCACAGGAGCAACACGACCATAGAGCACGACACGCCATGGCAGCCCTTGGCTGCTGGGACCACTGGGCGCCACCGGCGGCAGCACAATTCCGCCACATGCTACACGGAGGCACAGCAGCAGGGCCAGACCAATGGGCGCCCTCGGAGCTCATGCTCCTCCCGGAGGAGGCACTGGAAGAGCTGGTTGACCTCTGCACATACTCTGAGTACCACGGATGGCCGTCGCAACTCCTGCAGTGGCGGCAGGTCCACCTACCAAAAGACCCAGACACAGCACTCCCGAGCCTGACCCGACTACGCCCTATCGCAATCGCGAGCGCCGTGGTCCGCGCCTGGCACAGATGGAGGGCAGACCAACTGGCCACCTACCTCAGCCCAGCTTTCCTGCCCACGCAAGGGGGCGGTCTCAAAGGGCGGACCCTCGAATCCCTCATCGAGCCATGCCTCTCGCTCATTGAGGAGACAATCGCGGCGAACAGGTACGACGACGAGGACGGCTCGCTGACCGAGGAGGAGCAGCGGCTGGTTCGGGAGCGACAAACGGAGCTGCACGTCAAGTCGTGGGATTATGCCTCCGCGTTCGACAGGGCTTCCCCCCAGGTCGTCTGCGAGGTTTGGTCGCGACTCGGAGTACCGTCCAGAATCACCAACAGTATCGAAGCGATCTGGACCAAGCAGGAGAAGTAGGTTGAGGTCGGCCCGCTCTTAACACCACGGACAATTCTGGTTGAAGACAGTCTGCCACAAAGGGATCCAGCAGCCATGCTCGGGATGGCCACCCTGCTCATGGGGCCACTACGACGGCAAGCTGCTCTGCACCCACGAGCAACCTTTTGCACCTTCGCGGACGACCGCACGGCGGCCACGACAGAGGCAGAAGAACTACGGAGCATCGAGGAGGAGTGGGAGCTGCTGGAGTCGGTCACCGCGCTGCGCACCAACGACAGCAAGACGCAGTCCATCACGATACTACCGCACCAGTGCGACAATTACCACCTGCAGAGCAAGAAGATGAAATGCCTCGGAATCGACTTCACGATGCAACGCGCGACGCTCACGACCAGAGAGCGAGGCAAGCTTGAAGAGGCACTTGCCCGCATGAAGCGGATTGCGTGCCTGCCCCTGAGCATGCGGCTGCGCACGACCGCGGTGAGCACCATCGCGCTTCCGGTGTCGAGCTGGGCACTAGTGGTGACGCCACCGACAAAAGGAGCTATCCAGGACCATCTACGACAAGCACGAAAGGCTGTGACCCTGCGGAAATGGCCCCGGGCAGCTCCCGAACTACTTCGTCTGGTAGTAATGGGGCATAGCACCGACCTACGGTACCACCTGTGCCGGCGAGCACTACAACTTCTGAGCAGCAGACTACGTCGACAGGGGCCTGGAGCACTTGCGCTTTGGGACAAGATCACGATCAAGACCGACACGCGGGGGCCACTCCACGCCTACCGAGCACACTTGGCATCGCTTGGAGCAGAGCGCAGCGACGACGGCTTCTGGAGAGGCCCGGCGGGAGAACTCCGACTTACCGACAGAACAGACAGACAGCTCCACGAACTACGACTCATACTCCAATCCCACGAATGGGCAATCCTACAGGGCCGGAGCCGGCGGGAGAGCCCCATGGCGGCCGGAGTGCCCTTCCCAGCTGCTGCCGTGCGCGCGGCACAGGAAGCACGGAAAGCTAACCCAATCCTCGCCTCACACATCGCCGCCGTCCTCTGCGGCTGCGTGGTCTCGGACGCCCTGCTGCAGTCCAACCAAGGCGAGGAGGTCTCGACCACCTGCGACCACTGTGGTGAGCAGCGCGTCCCGACGCTCGACCACATGTACTGGGTGTGCACAGCCAACGCCGACCTCCGGCAAGGTATCGCGGTACCAACGGCTGACCTCACCCGCCGGTTGGGCTGGCCGACAGAGGACCTCACCAGGAGGACCACGACTACTTGGACAAAAATGGTGTTGGCTATGGCAAGCATGAGGCAGCGTGCGCTGGACCACCGACACAAGAAACCACAGGCACCCACTTCCTCCGACAATAGTTTATGACCGTATTCAATGGTTATTATTTGGATCGCATGTGTCAACAATTGGATTATGTTGTACTTCAGTTCTTCTTTGGGCTGGTGTCTTCTATTCTCCAGGTACACAGTCTACATACATGTGGGATTACATTACATATTTACGTAATTGCCTGTGTTGCGTACCATAAGTGGGGACCGCCACACGACGGTCGCCGCAGCTCTGCGAGCTGCGTGGTGTCCTCATACGCCTACGGATTGGGGACACGGATTGGTTATTCCCCCGCCACCGATTTATAGCAGCCCCTGCCCGTTCCACTGCGATCTCACCCCCTCACGTCCGACTGCACGGTTTCCCCCGGGGCCGTAGGCGACCCGAGGAGGGGGAGGAGGAGGAGGAGGAGGAGGAGGAGGAGGAGGAGGAGGAGGAGGAGGTGGAGGAGGGAGGGGGAGGAGGAGGGGAGGAGGAGGAGGAGAGGAGAGGAGGAGGAGAGGGGAGGAGGAAGATGAGGAGGAGGACGAGGACGACGATTTTCGCAGCCACCGATTTAGCAGCCCCTGCCCATTCCACTGCGATCTCACCCCCTCACCTCCGACTGCACAGTTTCCCCCGGGGCCGTAGGCGACCCGAGGAGGAGGAGGAGGAGGAGGAGGAGGAGGAGGAGAAGGAGGAGGAGGAGGAGAGGGAGGGCGAGGAGGAGGAGGAGGAGGAGGAGGAGAGGGAGGGCGAGGAGGAGGAGGAGGAAGGAGGAGGACGGGTCGCCTAAGCCCTTCGGAGAAACCCTCCACCTCCGACTCGGCACTCGCCATCTCGAGGGGGCCCGCGCGAGCGGGCGGCGCGTCGCCTCCGCCCGGGTTCCCGGCGCGCTTCGCTCGGAGGCGTGCCCGCACGGGCGCTGCGCGCTGCTCGTTCGCCGCCTCGCGTG